TTTCATTAAGATGTGTCTTGGAGGGGCACCTGAGTGGCTCAGTCAGTTGAGCATCTGACTCCGGCTCAGGTCATGATCTCGCGGTTCATGGGTTCGAGCCCCATATCAGGCTCTGTGCTGACAGCTCACAGCCTGGAGCCTGCTTCGGATTCTGTGTCTCCCTCTCTCTGCCCCTCCCCCACTGGTGCTCTATCTCTCAAAAATGAATAAACGTTAAAAAAAAATTTTTTTAATGTGTCTTGGAGAAGGTCTTTTTACACCCAGATAATAGCATGTGCTATTGGTTTCATGGACTTGTACATCCAAGTCATTCTCCAGGTTTGGGAAGTTCTTGGCTATTATTTCTTTAAATAAACTCTGTCCCCTTCACATTCCCTTCTCCTTCTGGAGCCTGATCATTCAGATATTTGCTTTTCTGATACAATCTGAGAGGTCTTTTAGGCTTTCTTCACTCTTCTTAAACTCAGGTCCCACTCTTCTTCTAACTATATTAATTCTATGTTCATGTCCTCCAAGCCACGTGTCCTTCTTACCCCTGGTCTGCCTTGTGACAGATTTTCTCCTCTGCATTCTTCATCTCATTCCCTGACTTATTCAGGTCTAGTATTTACCTTTAGTTCTTTTTTAGAATCTCAATTGCCTTGGTAAAGATCTCCTTTTTTTTATTAACATTACTCCTGATTCCTGATTTCACCGGATCCTCTTTCTGAGTTTCCTCTTAACGTGCTGAATTTCTTCAGAGCGGTTACTTTAAATTCTTTATCAGCTCCTAATACTCTATGTCTTTGAGCTTGGTTGCTGGAGAATTATTTTCCTTTTGTGACTCTACACTTCTTGATTTTTCACGTTGCTTATAGGTATGCATTTTTGCTTTTGCATTTGAAATTGCCAAGACCCTCTTAACCAGCTCTTGTGTCTTCTCTGGTTCTTAGAGTTGGCCAGGCGGGTAATTAGAAACCTCTTTTTTTGATTTGCAGAGGGGAGTGTTATATTTCAAGTTTATGGTTACTTCCCTGCCCACCATGTGTGGCCTGTTCTCTGAGCATACTCCCTGTCTCCTGGAGTTCCCTGGGAACACACACACAAAGGCGGCAGCGGAGTAGGGGAGAACTATGGGTTTAGCACTTAGTGAGCTGGGGAGGCCCATGGACTGGGTAGGGAGATGGGGTAGGGCATGTCATTCCCAAAGGCTTCTAGATGGACTTTCTGCTGACCAGATTCAATGTCTGCAAATATTATCTTCCTCTTTCCCCAAATCCTCCCTAAGCTTCTACCCACTAAGCTCCCACATTAGTAACTGGGTGCTGATGGACAGAAATGGGTATCTCAAGCTGCATCTTGCCAGCTGGGGAAGCTGGGTCCTCTCTCACCATCTTCCTCTTTTCCTGTGGGACAGGTCACCTTCACTAGATAAATCAGCCCCAAAAGGCACCTTCTTGGAGGTAGGGCAGTGTCCAGAAAATTTCTCCTACCACTTCACCATGACTAAACTCATTTTTTCCTTTTTCCTTTCTTTTTATTTTAATATTTATTTATTTTTGAGAGAAAGAGAGAGAGAGAGAGAGAGGCAGAGAGACAGAGACAGAGCATGAGTAGAGGAGAGGCAGAGAGAGAGGGAGACATAGACTCCGAAGCAGGCTCCAGGGTCTGAGCTGTCAGCACAGAGCCTGACATGGGGCTCGAACTCATGAACTATGAGATCATGACCTGAGCCACAGTCGGACACTTAACCGCTTAACCAACTGAGCCACCCAGGCACCCCTCCTTTCCTTTCTTCTTCAATGGTGTACTGGAATCTCCCTTTTGAAGGGCTAGATTTCTGCAAGCTCTCTGTAGTGGATGAGAGTCTGCTCAGTTCAGCACTCACCCAATTCTTGCCCAAACAGCCACAAGAGGGATCTGGGCAGTTGCACCTGTTAATCAGGTTCTAAGGTTTCTTTGGGGTCTGTCTGTCTCCTACCATCTGAACTGGTGAGTGAGATTCCTGCTGGGTCTCTTGGAGTAAGGTGCAAAATCCAGAAACCTCCACAAAGATGCTCTCGTTTCTGTATGAATGTCTAATTTGTTGATTAAAAGGAGGGCTAAGGGGTGCCTGAGTGGCTCAGTCAATTGAGCATCCGACTCTTGATTTTGGCTCAGGTCATGATATCATGGTTCCCAGAATTCACCCCTGCATCGGGCTCTGCACTGACAGTGCTGAGCCTGCTTAGGCTTCTCTCTCTGCTCCTTCCCCACTAGCACTCTCTCTCTTTCTCTCAAACAATAATAATAATAATGGGATCCATTAATAATCTACAAGGTACTTAAACCCCAAAGTTTTTTTTTTTGTTTTTTTTGTTTTTTTTTTTAAGATTCAGGAATGAGACACTATAAGCTACTATTACCTGAGATATTCAACATAGCCAATGCAATGACACAAGAAAAACAGTAGGCATATTGGAAAGGAAGAAAACAAAATGCCATCAATATCAGGTAATATTATTATTACATGGAAAACTCCAAGAATCTGCAGAGTTATTTTTTAACAATAAATTTAGTAATATTGCTAGATTGATATCTTTTAAAATATCATTTAGAGATCATGTGCAATGACAAAAAGAAAGAAATCCTTAATATCTAAAATAGATGAGACACATAGGAATAAATCTAACAGAAGAGGAACAGACTTCTGTAGATGTACACTCAATAAGGGCTGGGGCTTTGTTTATTACAATGCTCCTAGTTTCTAAAATGCCGGGTACAAGTGTGACATCAGCAACATGACTTGCCCGATGTTCCTTCTTTTTATCCCCCGTTTAAAAAAATTATTTATTTATTTGTTTGCTTGTTTGTTTGTTTCTTTAAGGAAGAGAGCGTGCAAGCAGGGGAAAGGGGCAAAAGCAGAGAGACAGCACCTTAAGCAGGCTCCAAGCTCAGAGTGGAGCACAACACGGGCTCCATCCCACCACGCTGGGATCACGACCTGAGCAGAAATCAAGAGTCAGATGCTTAACCCACTGAGTCACTCAGGCTTCCCACACTATTTCTATTTAGATTTTGTGTTTATCTGGGGTAACACAAAGCCAGGGTGACTGATGGAGATTACGGGGTGGCTGCTTTGCTTTAATCTTCATGATATTACTGAACACATTTCCAGACCTCCTATCTACAATGTGTGTACCTCCTGGAAACTGAAATAAAGCAAAAACAATAACAGGATATAGCAATCATTTCTTTAACACTTCTCACTTAATACCCAAATATCCTTATGAAGAAGGTATCATCTGTTAGCAGCTGAGAAAGGTGAGGTTTTGAGAAGTTAAACAGGATCACGGAATAGAGGCTGTAGCCCAGCAGGTAAAATCACCCCTATAGCATTCATAGTCTCAGATTCTGATCGTAAAATGTTGATAATAATGCCAACTTTATAACTATTCCTAAAATATATTCTTTTAGTGGGGCACCTGGGTGTTACAGTCGGTTAAGGGTCCAACTTCGGCTCAGGTCATGATCTCACGGTCCATGAGTTCGAGCACCGTATCGGGCTCTGTGCGGACAGCTCAGAGCCTGGAGCCTGTTTCAGATTCCGTGTCTCCCTCTCTTTCTGCCCCACCTCCACTCCCACTCTTTCTCTCTGTCTCTGAAAAATGAATAAACCTTAAAAAACATTTTAAAAAATATATATTCTTTTAGTAAAAACCAAGTTAAATTATACGAATATTTTTTGTAGAAAGTAGAAAACCACAGATAAGCAGTTAGGAATATAGGCACAGGTGAATACACGCACACCTACACACAGAGAAAATAACATACTTTTTATAACATACTCCCAAATATTTCCTGAGCTTTGTTTCCTTACTGAGGAAGTCACCCAGGTATCCATCAGGAGTTATCTGGATGCTGTCAGAACGGCTAAACTTAACAACTCAGGAAACAACAGATGTGGGTGAGGCTGAGTTGAAAGGGGAACACTTTTGCACTGCTGGTGGGAATATAAACTAGTGCGGCCACTCTGGAAAACAGCATGGAGGTTCCTCAAAAAATTAAAAATAGAGCTACCCTACTACCCAGAAATTGCACTGCTCGGTATTTATCCAGAGGATACAAAAATGCTGATTCAAGGGGCGCCTGGGTGGCTCAGTCGATCAGGCATCTGACTTCAGCTCAGGTCATGATCTCACAGTTCATGGGCTCGAGCCTCGTGTTGGGCTCTGTGCTGACAGCTCAGGGCCTGGAACCTGCTTCGGATTCTGTGTCTCTCTCTCTGCCCCTCCCTCCCCCGCTTGCTCTCTCTCTCTCTCTCTCTCTCTCTCTCTCTCTCTCTCAAAAGCAAATAAACATTAAAGAAAAAATTTTTTAAATGCTAAATCAAAGGGGCACATCACCCCAATGTTTACAGCTATCAACCATAGCTAAATTATGGAAAGAGCTCATATGTCCATCATCTGGTGAATGGTTAAAAACAATGTGTATATATGGTATGTATACAATGGAATATTACTCAGTGATTTAAAAAAATGAAATCTTGCTATTTGCAATAACATGAAAGGAACTAGAGGCTATTATGCTAAGCGAAGTAAGTCAGAGAAAGACAGATACATGATTTTACTCATGTGGAATTTAAGAAGTCAAACAGATGAACATAGGGGAAGGGAAGCAAAAATAATATAAAAACAGGAAGGGGGATAAAACATAAGAGATTCTTAAATACAGAGAATAAACTGAGGGCTGCTGGGTAGGGGGATGGACTAAATGGGGGATGGGCATTAGGCAGGCACTTGTTGAGATGAGCACTGGGTGTTATATATAAGTGATGAATCACTAAATTCTACTCCTGAAACTGTTACTACACTATTTGATAACTAACTTGGATTTAAATACAATTAAAAAAAGAGTTATTTGGGTGCACTAAATTGATGCATAGACTAATATTGTTTAGACGTTCAACTTACTTCTTGGGCAGCTTCATTTTTTTCACCTTTTCTTCAGCATGTTCATCTGCTATTCCCACATGACATCCTAATGCCAACAAAGTCCTGGAAAACAAAACCAGAGATGAGCTGTAAGAACTCCCTTTCTATGTCTGGAATAACCCAACACAATAGCGGATGGGAATAAGGTAGGACGGTCAACCTTGAAAGCAGAGAAGAAATTGTTGATGCAAAGGAAAAACGCTTATAAAGTATTTAGTTTTGAGTAATGAGTAAGACATTGAAAATTGAAACATCACAAAAAAACAAGCGAATAGTATGTCTTTCTCCAAACCCCTCCCTGTGGTCCTGTTTCTTTCCCTAAAGGCACTGATTGCTTCCAATTCTTGAATATCCTGCTCTAGTCTGTGCAGTCTCTAACACACATGTATGGGTGTGTGTGTGTGTGTGTGTGTGTGTGTGTGTGTGTGTATTGTTTCTTTGTTCCCTTTTACACAATGAGTATAGTTCTCTGCAATTTTCTGTCTTGACTTTGCACCATAACTTTGATATATGGTTCTTTCATAAAGAGCTGGCTTATTTTTCAAGAACTTTGAAGTTCTCCGTTAGTTGGATGTATCAGAATGTTTTTACCCAGTTCTCTGTTCATACCTAGTCTTTTGTTATTACAAACAATGCCACAATGAACAACCTCATACATTTAGTACATGTACTGTATCCTTCATCTGTAGGTTAAAAATTCCTAGACATGGGATTACTGAGTCACAGGGTATATACATTTTAAAGATTTATAGGACTCCTGGGTGGCTCAGTCAGTTGAGCATCCAACTGCGGCTCAGGTCATGATCTCACAGCTCGTGGGTTTGAGCCCCACGTAAGGCTCTCTACTGTCAGTGCAGAGCCTGCTTCAGATCCTCTGTCCCCCTCTCTCTCTCCCCCTCCTCCACTGGTTCTGTCTCTAGCTCTCAAAATAAATCAGATAAAATAAGGATTCATAAATATTATCAAATGTCTATAGAGTTGCTAATAACTTACATTCCCACCAGCAGTCTACAACATCGCCTGTTTCCCATACACAGTTACCAAACTACTTACGCTTTGCCAATTAGTCGGTTAAAAGGGTATCTCATTACCATTTTGATTTGCTTTTTTAAGATTATACTTTTAAGTAACCTCTACACCCAACATGGTGCTCAAACGTACAACCCCAAGACCAACAGTCATATGCTCTACCAGCAGAGCCAGCCAGGCGCTCCTGTATTTTTCATATTCTAAGTGTATCTGAGTGCTTTTTTCATATTCTTAAGAGTACCTGTACTTTTTTTCTTTGAAAATATTATTTGTTCACTTTTCCATTAGATTTGGGTTTTTTATTGCATTTTAGAAGCTCTTCCTATGTCTGAGATAGGAGCTGCAAATGTTTTTCTCTAGTCTGTCTTTTTCCTTTATTTAGTGCTATTTATATGCAGAATCTCAAATATGTTTTTATATAACTGAAACTTACCATCTTTTCTTATAGCTTCTGAATTTTATGTGGCACTTAGAGATACCCCATTTGTAAAGTCATTTGAAGAAAAATGTCCATGCTTTCCTGTGTGGGGGTGATGGTCAGGGGGGTCTATTAGCTTCAGGCACAGCTTAACTTTATTTTTTTTTCCAGATGGATACCTAATTCTTCATAAAATATTTACCAAATAATTCACCTTTTACCACTGGGTTGAAATGCAACCTTTAGTAGACACAAATGCCCATATGTTTTTAATCCTTTACTGAACTTTCTATCTAGAAAAAAAATCTTGTTTGCAAATGTCTATCAGGGGTCCCTGTTTGCCAGGAAGGGTTTATCCATTTTTTTTTTTAAGATACTCTATCTTTTCCTCCCCTGAATGACCTTTCATTGCTTTTCCTGAGAAATATCCTTACCATTCACATGTAGAACTCAACCTTTAAAGTCCCCCAGGTTTATATGGAACAATGTGCCTTTAGTAGCCATGACAATGAGTGGTTTCTCCTATCCAACAGAATAAGAGACAATGGCTAATCCTTTTTGGATTACAGAATTCCTAGGTTCTAGTCAGTTCCAGAAGGGATGTGGCAAATATCTACAATTCATTTACACTTATCCTCCACAACATCTTAAAAATGAAAATCTGGAGATAGATAGATGGCATAGATAGGTACAGCTATGTATATTTACACAACAACTGTCATCAACTTAAATTTTAGGTTAAACGTGGTAAAATTCAGATGATCCTGTGAAATTACCCTTCAAGTGTTAACCTGCATAAGTATGGACAGATCAAGAACTGACTGAAGCTATAAAAATTACCTAGAGAATGTGCCAATTAAAATGAGATCGAGGGGCACCTGGGTGGCGCAGTCGGTTAAGCGTCTGACTTCAGCCAGGTCAAGATCTCGCGGTCCGGGAGTTCGAGCCCCGCGTCGGGCTCTGGGCTGATGGCTCAGAGCCTGGAGCCTGTTTCCGATTCTGTGTCTCCCTCTCTCTCTGCCCCTCCCCCATTCATGCTCTGTCTCTCTCTGTCCCAAAAATAAAATAAATAAACGTTGAAAAAAAAAATTAAAAAAAAAAAAGAATGAGATCGAGCATGGGGCACCTGGGCAGCTCAGTCAGTTAAGCGTCTGACTCTTGGTTTCGGCTCAGGTCATGATCTCATGGTTTGTGAGTTCAAGCCACACATCGGGCTCTGTGCTGACAGTATGGAGCCTGCTTGGGATTCTGTCTCTCTGTCTCTCTCTGTCCCTCCCCCACTCACTCTCTCTGTCTGTCTCTCAAAAATAAATAAACTTAAAAACAATTTTAAAAAATGAGACTGATCATTAATAGAAGAATAGAAAACACACTCAGAGAACAAACATGGGTTACACGTATTCAATCAGTGTCCATAGGACAGGAAGTTTTTTGTCATTATTCCTTCATTCATTTAACTATTCAATAAATATCTCCTGAACATCACTAGTGGTAGGCCCTGTCCTAAATTCTGGGGATAAGCTTACTGGTCAGTGAGGACTACAGCAATAGTTAATTACAATTCAGTGTCCTGTGTCCAATGAGATACGTAGAAAGCTATGAAACCATCAGGAGGATGCCAGACCCAGCTCTGAGGGAACTCAAGGTGACAATAATATTAGGATCTATCTTAAACTCTGACAATTCGATCTTTGAGGGCACACCCACTGAGAAATCTTCTGATTACAATGAATGGAGAACTTGACTATACATTAAGTGAGGGCCTTGAATGCCACACTGAGGGACTCACACTTAGGTGGATGGACAACAGACAGGTTACTGAGGATTATGCTCAGAAAGATAGAATTAGGGGCACCCGGGTGGCTCAGTCGTTTAAGCGTCCGACTTCAGCCAGGTCACGATCTCGCGGTCCGTGAGTTCGAGCCCCGCGTCGGGCTCTGGGCTGATGGCTCAAAGCCTGGAGCCTGTTTCCGATTCTGTGTCTCCCTCTCTCTCTGCCCCTCCCCCGTTCATGCTCTGTCTCTCTCTGTCCCAAAAATAAATAAACGTTGAAAAAAAAAAAATTTAGAAAGATAGAATTAGAAGCTGTCAGGTCAGAAATGTACCTCGAAAAGGTTAATTTATTACTGTTTTAATAAACCTGCAAAGTTGTATGACCATCACTACAATCCAGTTTTAGAATATCTCATCTCACCAAGTTCCTCATGCCTGTTTGCACTCATTCCTCACTCCGACCCCACCTCCCCCAGGCAACCACTAATCTATATTCCGGCTCCGTAGATCTGCCTTTTCTAAAAATTATATATAAAAAGAATCATACAGGGGCGCCTGGGTGGCTCAGTCGGCTGGGCGTCTGACTTTGGCTCAGGTCACGATCTTGCAGTTTGTGAGTTCAAGCCCCGCGTCGGGCTCTGTGCTGACAGCTCGGAGCCTGGAACCCGCTTCACATTCTGCGTCTCCTCCTCTCTCTGCCCCTCCCATGCTCATGCTCTGTGTCTCTCTGTCTCTCAATAATAAATAAATGTTAAAAAAAAAATTTTTTTTAAGAATCATATAAATTAGGATCTTTTGTGCCAGGCTTTTTTGACTCAGATTAATGTTTTTTAGGTTTATGAATGTTATAATGTTTACCAGTAGCTTATCTCCTTTTATTGCTGAAAAGTATCCCATTGTGGGGCTACATCACATTTTGTCTCTCCATTCATAAGTTTATGAACATTTGCATGGTTTCAACCTTTTGACTATTACATATAATGCTTCTATGAAGATGCTTCTGCAGACCTTCATACAAAAGTCTTTCCATGGATATAAGGTTTCATTTCTCTTAGTTACATGTGTAGGAGTAGAATTGCTAGGTTGTTTGGTAAATTAATGGGGGTTTTCCGGTCTGTCTTTTATGTCATAGCCCTTCGAATGTGTGTGAAGTATTTCATTATGATTTCACTTGCATTTTCCTAATGAGCTATGATGTTAAGCATTTTATAAATGTGCTTGCTAGTCATTCATAGATCTTCTTTGGTAAAATACATGCTCAAATGCTTTGTTTATTTTTAATTGGGCTGTATGTACTCTTATTGTTGAGTTGTAAGAACTCTTTATATATTCTGAATACAAATCCTTTAGCAGGACTTCCCCTTATTTTCTACAAAGTCTACAAATATAATGTATGATATGTATGACATGACATAATTTATATGACATATAAGTATTTTCTCCCAGTCTGTGGCTTTTCTCGTCAAAAGTTTCTTCATAGTTTCTTCTGAAGTACAAAAGGTTTTGCTGTATATAAAATGCAATTTATTGATCATGTGTTTTGGCTTTATATCTAAGAATTCTATGCCTAATCCAAGGAGGTTTTAAAATCAGAGCAACAGATCATTTAAAAAATCTATTTAGTGAAATTATCAACCACCCCAAGTTCTTTGAATTGGTCTCTGTATTATCTGTATTAAAACCACTGTATCTGGTTTAATGCTGTTTAACTCACATGTTTAAGACGTTTAAAAGTCTGCTGAGGAGTAGGGGCACCTGGGTGACTCAGTCAATTGAGCGTCTGACTTTGGCTCAGGTCATGATCTCATGGTTCCCGAGTTTGAGTCCCACACGGCTGCAGCTC